TTCCAGCGGAGGGTTTGCGATGGGATCAAAGTCGGTTTCAACGTGAAAAGTCACGTCCTTTCAATCACTCCCCGGAATACGCTTGTAGGGTTTTCTACCTGTAATCACACGTCTGGAATAAAAGCCGAAAAGAAAAGCGAGGGTTGCATGTCATGTGCTTTATTGTCAGCGTTAGCGCTAATTTTAACTGTTGATTAAATCTTAAATGAAGACTCAGTCGTGTGTCCCTTCATATGTCTTGTTTGTAATTGAGACTAATTATTACTGTGGGGTGGGAAGAAGCAGCTGCTCATTAATTAATTTCTAATTAAAAGTGCTTACCAGCCCTTCAGTGACGAAGGAGGGTGGGGGGGAAAAAAATCTTAGCTGATACAACATTGATCCTTCAGATTAAAACCATTCATTTTCTTCCCTTCCCCGCAGAAATATATAGAAATGTTGCAAGCAGGCGTAGCCGCTGCCGGGGAGCTTTCCAAACTTTCGCTGCCTAGCAGGCAGGCTGAGAGGGATGCTGGAGAGCCTATTTTCCACGCCAGGGGAAAGGTTCCCGAAAATGAACGTTAAACTTACAGGCAGGTTAATTTGAATAGGTTTTGCGTGACGTCAGAGGCTCGGCTCTTTTAAAAAAACGTGCTTCTGAACTGCTGTATTTGTGCCACTTTTTCTGTGGGTGTAAAGTATGTATTTCTGCCGTCACGTTTGCCAGCCTCGGAGCCTACACGTAACAATTATTTCTGTTTCGTAGCTGCAGAGGGGAAGGTGCTAAAATCACTATACCTTTTTTTCTTTTTTTTTTTTCCTTCGGTTAAAAAAAAAAAAAAAGTAAGTTTAAGATTTCATGTAAATAAATTAAATGTGGTTTTCTGCTTCGTCCTATAAGCATCTAGGGACCTGTGGTTACCAATCAATTGGTACAATAGAGCAGAGCCAGGCTGCAATAGCGTGCAGATCAGACGTCTCGCCTTGTTTCTAGATAACTGGGAGCCTCTGTACCATGTCATATCCTCAGTTTGGCTACCCTTACTCCTCTGCACCCCAGGTAAGACTTTTTGCCTACCACCGTTAATTGATTGAATTCCAGTCCTTATTGATTCCTTCCGTCCAGGGCTGAGAGCGGCAGCGATCCTTTCTAGCATGCGGGAGCGGGAAATCGGCTGCTGGCTCCGCATCTTTCCGAGATGCTCAAGTTATATCCTGCGCACATATTTTAAAATGGGAAGGAACACGCGGGATTTAGGGTGTTTGGGGGCGATAACGACGCGTGGGGGGGGATTACAGAGATGAGGGAGGTGAGAAGGGGAGCGAGAGATCCCCCAGCCCCCACCTGCCCTC